GTTCTCCCACTTTCTTTTATTATATTAAAATCCTGGAAGTTCAGATTAAATTAGGTTGGAGTGAAAAGTTAAGCAGCACGCTACCTTTTGGGAGGGGCCTCCCACCACCAAGTAGCAATTCAGTGGCAAACGTGTTTCAACTTAATAAATGTTAAAGATTGCTTGACTACGCCAGCTTCTCTTTTAATAACAGAGATTCTCCTTCATCTATTTTCCTGAGTAAATTAGAAGACTGATTCCTAGGAAAAAGTGACCCCTTACCCTAAATCAAACGCAGAATACATTAGTGACTTTTGTATCTGTCACTGTAAACCTCTGTAGGATCACAGCAAAAGAGAAGTCCTGGATAGAAGTGCTTAGAATATTTGTATAAATCCCAACCTGTCTTCACTAGCCTTTTTCCCAGATAGAAAGCTGCAGTGGCTTTTCCCAAATAACATATAACACAGTCTATTTCCCCAAATAACATAGAGCACATCTTAATGGCAATGGGACATCAGGAATAGCAGTCTATAGAAGATCCTCTGGCAGCTTCAGGACTTTTATTCTGGTGGGGAAAATACATTTATAATTTGGCCTTTTAATAAGCATTTGCTTGTCACTGCAGAGAGTAAAGGCTTCAAGCATAATAAAAAATCTCCCATTCACTTTCCAACTGGAGAAAATTTTTGAAAAAAAAACATTTTTTATTAATTTTTTTTTCAAGGTAAGGTCTGGCTATGTAGTTTAGACTGGTACTGAACTCACTCACTATGTAGCCCAAGCTGGCCACAAACTTGCAGTGATCCTCCTGCCTAGCCTCCCGTGTGCTGGGATAACAGGCATACACCATCACGCCTGGCATGAAAAAATTACTTTATAAAGGGTATTGGTGAAAAGCTACAAACATTCAAGAATATTTCTATCTGCTTTCCAATCAGCAAAGCCTGATGATGCAAGGCTAAATGGACAGGCAGATAGAAATAAATTAGATATGTTTGGGCTTTAATAACTATTCATTTTTTTCATTTTAAAAGAGTTTCCTCACTTTTGTTTCCTTTGCTGTGCAAAGGCCTTTTTTCTTTCTTTCTTTTCTTTTCTTTTTTTTTTTTTTGTGGTACCGGGAATTGAACTCAGGACTTTGTGCTTGCCAGGTAGGCACTGTTCCGCTGAGCTATCTCCCTGCCCCAGTTTCCTTACTTTTGATTCATTAAAAACATCAAAATAAACAGAGAACAAGTTATCCCCTTCAGTCCAGTCAAGTGGCTCTGAATCTGGTTGCCCAAATAGGAGAGTAAAATTTGAAAGCAGCATTTGTAAACGTCCCTTCCTACTCTGGCTTCACCCCACCATCTTAATTATGATAATACACAACCTGTATGCATTGCAATCTACACCTGACCGGAGAAGCGCAGACAAACTGCTTTCAAAGCTTAAGACTCACACCCAGCAGTGTCCACTTTAAATAGAAAAATCACATGAATTGCATGAAAGTCAAGGTCATTTTGGTACATCGATTCCCCTAGCAACCTTCTGTGTCACCAAGGCCCAGAGCGAACCCAATCTGACCCCGACTTTATGTGCATTATTATATCAAGAGACAGGAGCTACTTACAGTCCACACCACTGTCTCCATAGATATATAATAAGGTGTTCTAGACCTGCTCCCACCTAGAACACTTCAGGTGCAAGGCACTTGCTTCTCTCTCTTTTTCCTCTCTCTCCCCCAGTCTTGCACACAAGCACACACAGCCTCTTGCCAGGATAAAGTCTTCATTTACTGAGCGTTTCTTCCTTCTCAATACGCAACTCAAAAAGCAACTTCAGACTAATTCTCACACAACCCCCTGTAAACAACATCCTTCACCCAAATCCATAACTAATAATAACACTCTTTATTAAGCCCCTCTGTGAAACAATATGTCTAATACAAAGCTCCTCTCTGTACTGTTTTAATTATAATAAATCACCTTCATTATGATGCATACTTCAATATAACATGTCCACTGCTTAGCTGCCTCGGTTGCTCTTGTAATGAGGTGCTAGCTAACATGTATGTCTCCAAAAAGTTATTTACACGCACACTGAAAAATTCTATGGCATCCCATGGCTTTACAGCATGAATTTCAACAACTTTTATCTTACCTTCCTGTTCATAACATCACAGCTGAGAAGACAAGGAAGAAAAGAAAAAGAAAAAGCACCACCTCTGAAAAATGCTGTTTACACAAATAACAGTACCCTGAATACATCCACTAGCATGAAAAAATAAGTCCTTGCAGTACAATCATTTCTCTATAAATGTGTGAAAGTATTTTACTGCCTAGTACAACAAATCAACGAGGAGACGCCAGGCTGTAGGGTGCAAGTTCCAGGGGACCGTGTGTCAAAGTCAACTTCTCGGTCAGTCCCCTGAGAACTGCACTAGGCACATTCTCATGAAAGGTGTGAAAATCTGATTTTCTAAAATGGATCAGTAATTCTCTATGAAGGGGAAAAGGATCGATAAATCTTTGCTAAGTAGATTGTAAAGGAAAAATTATTCTTTCCATGGCAGTACATTAGGGTCCTCCAAACAATCCTCAATAAACTAAAAACGTCGCATTTCTCCACCAGCTACTTTTGACTTCTGATATATTTTTGTAATCTCAGATCATTCTGCAATGCACATACATTTATATTTGCTAAGCAATGTTCCATGTTGATGCTGATTTATGGTATGTGCCATTATAATGTTTGGCTGTGACTAGAAAAAGAAAATTATTAGCCGCTTGTAACCTGATAGATGTGCTACAAGGAAATGTCATTATAGCTGTATACCCATATATGTTTCTAACTATATCAGTTCACGGGGTAGCCACATGATGTGATTTTGGTATTCCTTAGCCAAATATATCTGTGTTGTTTTTAGGTGGCCATTCATCAATGAGCAGTATATATTCTCTCAATGCCTAAAAACACCAGAGGTGTGATATGCTCAGGCTCATGGGATGTTAACAGTCCTCCAGCAGTATTGTTTTGTCCCCCTAGGCAAGGACCAAGGAAAGCCCGGACACCAGTTTTATTGCATGCACTGGATGACATCGAGCTGTGGAACTCCCAGGCCCTCCCCACAGACACATTCACCATTTGTTTCACAACTGGAGGACCAGTGCTCTGCATCACTCTGATACCCAAGGATCCTTGCGACAGAATTCAGACAGAGGATGTGTGTCACAAGCAAACAAGCCCAAGAATGGGCCGACTGCTCCCGGGAGGCTGTCTGGTTATAGCATCCTGAGCTGCGTATGGCTGAGATTTCCCTTGCTCTGTGTTAAAGGGGTTATTAAAAAATATGGCCTGTGTAGTAGGGGCCTCAGAGCACAGCGAATGTCATGTGTCCTGCAACACCCAGGTAAAACAAAGCCAACACAGTACAGCAGGCTTCAGCCTGGATTTCTCTGTACTTATGCAAGTTGAGTTCAGAATTAATATTAGATGGCTTCTTTTCAAAGGAAAAGCTCATCCATGGGATGTACTATTTTAAAGTACAGCATCCTCAGACAAAGAAGGGGAGAAAGAGAATTGGCATGTTACATTATGACAAGCATAGTGTGCTCTCTTGAATGTCTATGGGTGTTAGAGAAATTACCTCTACCATTATCTTTTCAGGTAGGAGGTTGCGGGCCAAAGTTTTTATACAATGCTTTCTTTCCTATTTCTTAATCAAACAGTGCTACATTGACAGTCACTCAGATACAAAGGAGAGTGACTTTAATTTCTTTTGGCATGAAGAAATAAGTTCACTCCAATTAGAATCTCTTCCACCATCTGCTTTTGTGATATTTTCTGATCAGAGAGTGTAAGAAGCAAGATCAAGTTTCTACATAAAGTCTAACATCCAATGCCTACCAGTAAGCAAGATGCAACTGGAAAGTCCATGGCAGGATGGTGGTAATAAAATAAAACAAGAGTTCTTGGTCTCTGTGAAGAGGTGCTGTAGAATACAGCATTGATTTAGAAATAATGAATAGCATCCTTTCTAGTTTGAAGTTCAGATTAAGTGAGATACAACTACAAAAATATGAAACTTAAAGTATTCCAAGGCAGAGTTTGCACTAACACGGAGTGCTGAGTCTACCAGTTAAAAAACAGGTGCAATTCTACGAAAGCTAAATGACATGAGGGAAGGGAGGCAGCCTTTTTCCAAAGAAGAAATAAAGGCTGCTTAATAAATAAAATACTGATGGATAAAAGTGTAGAATTAGAAGGTTTTGTTATGTGTTCATATTCACATGGAAACTCAGAATATGTTCTCTGATCATGTTTTAATTTGCACTCTAAATCTGTAAATAGAGCTGTGTCAAAAATATTTTGTTGATGTTCATAATTTCCTTTACTAAACTTCTGTTCTAATAAAGTGATTGTCTAATAACTTTTCAAAGATAAACATATAAATGGCTTTGGCCAGAGGCACACCTTGTTGAACAATGACATGAGCAAAATATGATTGAGTTGCCAGTTGTTTTAAATACATAAGGGAAGGTGACAAGCCCATTTTTACATGCAGTTCTTGCAACAAGGATTTGTTAGAATTTGTGTTTTTAATGCATCTTCATTTATACTTTGAAACACATCCTGGTAGCGGAAATAATCCATGCTCTCTGTGATTGTCTTAGGTGAAATGGAAGTCTTTCTGTGGTCCGTATGTGCTGGCCTCCTCAAAGTTTGGAAAGAACAGGTCTCTGAGGATGGTTGAGAAGAATGAAAAAAAAAAAACAAAACATCAGCTCTAGAAAATGTCCCTTTATGCCCTAAATGACCTTATGGAAATGACGAAATAGCTCTCGAGAGTATCATTTGCTGGTTTTCTTTTTTTTCTCCTAACCTCTTTGCATTAAACTAACGCTGCTTTAAAGAATCATATGCTTCTTGGAGATAATTTGTAGGGTAAATATATGAAATAGAAAATGTTTAACACCCATAATCACACTACTTCATATATTTCTTTAATACATACTGTACACATATAAATTTGGCATTATATGGTACATTTACTATGATATTTTATTAACTTATCATTATTTTATTACCATTTTCCAAAATCGCTCAGTGCTGCTAAACAAAGTAGTATAATGTACTATTTAAAGTAATCACTGCTGGCAGGCCAGGAATATAGCTCAGTGGCACAAATTCCTGTCTGTGAAGCCAAGGTCCTGAGTTTGATTCCCGGTACCAGAAAAAAAAGATACTTTGCTAAAGTAATCACTGCCTTACAGCTAAATAATTAAGCTATTTACAGCATTTTAATATTTAAAGTGACTGAGCACCTTTTTATTTTACCTGTTTTATCTGGATCTCTATAATCATATAGTAGTTTATCATATGAAAAATTACTCACCTTGCTCTTCTAACTAATCTTATGAATTTTAGTTACATTGCTTTGATCAAAGCAAAAGCAGCAAATTGTTTTCCAAAAAGATCTAAGTGCCTTGCATTTCAGTATCCTTTTCCTTTAACATTACTGAGTTTTGTCAGTTATTTTAATTTTTGCAAATTTCTTAAACAAAAAATCTCATCAATTTAACCCTCTTCCTTTAAAATTTAGAAATGTCTGCATACTTCTTCACATGCTTAACATTTCATGTGTTTATTATTTTTTAAAATATTTCATACACTAGAGCATTTTTTCTCATCATATAGTATGCATTTGTTATGGAAATGTCACCCCCTTTGTCATATTTACAAAAACATTTTTGAGTTTTCAATTTCGCATTGAATTTTGTTTTTGCAACATGTTTTGACCTATAAGACTTCCACAGTTTTAATTTCCATCAGCTCTCATAGTGTTTCACTTTTGTCACTTTGTCTAGGCTTGCTTATTCTTGAGAAAGTTTCTTCCTTGACTAGCTGCCCATAAATATGCCCCACTTTTTAAAAATATAATTTTCATCTGCATACAATATGGGATAAAGCTCTAACTTTTTCAACAGAAGAATCAAATAATGATTCTTGAGAGCATTGCTGTGCAGACTTGGGATTGCACCGGAGAGAGACTTTCTATTGAGAGTGAAGACCATGGGTGCCTCTCCTTTGGCTTCAAGGATGACCTCCTTGTTAAATTCTCCTATTTCACAAGTCACCCTGCTCAATCTATTTTGCAGTTTTTAAAGTTTCTAGAATTTTCTTTTGGAATATCAGTAATGTGCAGATGGAGTTTCTATCTTGGCTTTGTCTTTTCTATAGCTACTTATTGGAGGGGAGCAGAGGCACCTTTATTTTTGAGCCCATGAAGATTTTAATTCTCTTCTGGTAACAACAACAGTGCCCCCAACCGCCTCTCTCTGCCTCTCAAGTTTTTCAACATTTTGTCCTTTTACCTTGAAGACTACATGAAATGCACAACCTGAGTTTACAGGACGTGGCCGTCACCTGCTTAGCGTGGCACCGCTGTATGGAAGCAGAAGGAACAAAGTGACCTCAGTCAGGCCTTGTCAAGAGTAGTTGTGTTGTATTAATCCTCTGTGAGAGTGTAAAAGGGCAACCTCTGTCCACCCACTTATCAGAGATGCAGTACCTCCCTCGGCGCTTCAAACGGTGAAAATATCGTGTGTTCTCCTGGGCAGTTCTTTTCTACCAAGTGAAGTAGAAGCTGAAGTCAAGTGATTGGATTCACAATGATGGCCAGTTGCTACCTTGTCTTTGGTGTGGCCCTCTCCTCAACTGTCCAATGAGTAGATACTATATGCTACACATTTTTCTCCTGAAGGCCACCAGGTCCGCCATATTGCTGAATCCAGTCGTCCATTCTCTGTTCTCCTATGATTTTACCTGCCAGAAACAGGACGCTTAGGCATAATCAGACGAGACTGGGTGTGTTCAGAATGTCATGGCCATAGACTCTTCGGCACAATCAAAGACTCCTTTCTCCTCAGCTCTTCACTGCTCCTCATAGCCACATTTGTCAAATATCCCTTCTATTTCCTGGGCTTCAGCAGTGTGCAGCTTCCCTTTTATTTCCCACCTTCTGAGCACAGAATGCCCTTAAGCTCAATTTTCTGGCCTCCCCTTCTCCATCTTCCTATCCTCATGTTGTGATAATACCCAGACTTCTAGTTTTAAAGTTATTCCTATACTGACATCCCCAAACACCAAATTCCAGGTTAGATCTATTCATAAATGCCAATCTCAAACACTCAACCCACTCACTTGCTCTATTTCTACCTGAATATTTAAAAGCACTCTAAACTTTACTTATCTAAAACTGAATGACTACTTTTCTCCCCCTCAAAATGTGCTCTTCCTATTGGTCCCCCATTCTCACATTCCACATCTAGTCCAACAATAAATCCGAACATATGCAGAGTCCACACACTTCTCACAACTCCAGCACTTCCATCCTGGCCTGTGCAACCACTCACCTGGATTATTTCAGCAGCTCATAACTGACCTCTTTGCTATGCCCCTTGGCAGTCTGTTGTCAGTAAGAATCCCTCTTTTTAGCACACAGAAGGTTGATCATATAACTGAGTCAAACACTCTGACGGCATCTCATCTTCCTTAGAGTAAAACCCAGTCTTTGCAATGGCCTGGGAGCCATATATGATCAAGCTCTCCAGCTGTCTAAGCCCTACCTCCTCCTGCTGCCCCATGTCCTCTACACTTTCTCTAACCCATCTAACATGCTAGTGTGTTTCCACAGAAGGTTGATCATATAACTGAGTCAAACATTCTGATGGCATGCAGTCTTAGCATGCAGTCTCTCCTTGCTTAGTTGCTTCCCTAAACAACCCAGTGGTGCCCTTCCACTCTTTCATAGGCCTTTTGTGGATAGATTAACTTAAAAGCAAGTTAGACATAACCAAAAACAGAACTGCAATACTGGAAGATATAGCTAAAGAAAATGTTCAGAGGCAGTACACAGTGACTAGTTGAAAGGAAATACGAAATTGAGATTAAGAGGTATACTGGTAGAATGATAAGGTCCAACATACATTTTACAGAACCCCCAAAAGATGGGGTATTAGTCAGTAAGATTTTTAAAAGCACTTAAGAATGGGTTCAAAATCAAACAGATCAATTTACATAACTAGTGAAATGAATTAAATTTCTTTATTAAAAGAAAAAGAGTCTAAAATCAAAGTTAGAGAAGAAAAGTAAAACTCAACCAGAGGCTGTTTAAAAGAACATTTTAAATAAAATGTAAAGAGAAGGTTGAAAGTAAAGAACTGACACGATAAGCAGATGGAGACAAACAAAAAAAGGAGGTAGGAATATTGCTATGAAAGTATAGCTCAAGCAAAATGCATTAAATGAGATACCTCATATTTATAAAAGGTTCATTCTGCCAAACAGATGTCAAAAAACTTTGTACATTAAAAATAACCTAACCTCCAAGTACATTAGGCAAAAAACTTTTAGAAGCATGATTAGAAATTGGCAGAAACAAGTCTCAGGGGAAAGGTACCCCTCTCAGACTGTGACAGATCAAGTAGATGAAACACTGACACAGTACTCAACACAATTAAAGAGTTCAATTTATCGAGGAGAACAGCAGAAGAGAAAACATTGTATTTTACAGCTGAAAAATACATATTCTTGCCAAATGTTTGTGGAATGGCAATGATGCACAGTCAAGCAGGAGACCATGAAGAACATCTCACCAGCTCCCTGAAGAAGACACACCAGTGAGCCCTGCACTTTGTCCTTGGCAATCTGTGCACTACTTCAGTAAGGACTTTGAACAGGAAAGAAATCACATCAATATGGACTGAGAAAGTAATGGGGTAACATGAATATTGCAGAACAATATTCTGAAGTAGATCCTAAGCAAGTTTTAAAAATCTTCCATTGCTTTCTCTTACCAATTTGTACAGTTCCTCCCATTGTCTTATAAAAAGACTTCATTATTTAATCAGGGAGTGAGTGAGAGAGTCGCCTCTGATCCTTGCCACAATTTTCTCACCACTGAGGCACTGCCCTGGCGTCTGCTGTGAGGGATGAGATCCCACTGTGCAAGCCAACTTCCTCCTGGGGTCTGAGGGTTCTCATTTGTTCCTGGTTCCATGTCTCATAGAGCAAAACTAACATAGGTGAACTGCGAAGCAAACTCACAAAAGCAACATTTTAAAATATCCCACTGCTTCAGTTCTAAATATAAATTTATAACCAATGATTTTCAGGTATATGACAAAAGTTGTACTAAAAGTCCAAAAGAATCAAAAGGAAAAGTTGATCTGCCAACTCAGAGGGAAACAGAAGTAATTCCAGGGAAAGAAGGAATTTAAAAATAATTTTAACTTGTTTTATGGGGGCAGGGGGTTTGACCAATTATTTTATCCATACAGCAAGAACAGGTTGCATGGGTAAAAGGAGTAGGGGGTGGTAAAACTTCAAAGTGTAATTCTTAGCATTTGAAAGCTTGATAGATGAATTTAAGGAATCAAGGAGTTTCTCAGCATCTAGAAAAAAAAATGTCAAATAAACTGAAATTGTGAAACTCACATCTGTCTACAAGTGATTTCAAAAAGAAATCGGTAGAAGAAGGGATACCAACAATTTTATCAAAGGAATAATAATATCAAATTATTCAAAGCTTAAACAGACCTGTAAAAAGAATTTAAACCTTCCTTTTAAATTTTGTACTTGATGCTGAGCGGAAAGTATGACAAAGATGGGGTGTTTGAATCTAGACACATTGCTATAAAGTTCTTGAACACCAAAATTCTAAAGAACATCCTAAAAGCTTCCAAAGTGATTAAATTTATCTTCAAAGGAAGAAAGGCTAAATTGGTCTCAGACGTTTCATAAGCAGTGCGTGCAGGCCTACACCAGGCCAGTGTTTCCAAAAGTTCTGAGTTAAAGTTATTTGGAACCTTCAATGTGAGCTATCAATCAAGAT